TGGAGCCAGGCCCAGAAGGAGGACTCGTCAGCGAGCGTCTGGTGGCCGGGCTTGCCACGGAGCCCGGCCGGGCACAGCCCGAAAAGGTAACGTGGGCAACACCTCCGCTACTCCGTCCCGCGGGCCCACCACCTACGGGAAACAGCGATGGGGTCGGGTGCGCTGCCAGAAGGGTGGCAGTGAAAGCAGAGGGTCTCGACGGACCAGACCCGGGCGACAGAAGCTGGCTTTGGGGACGTGGAACGTCACCTCTCTGGGAGGGAAGGAGCCGGAGCTTGTGCGGGAGGTGGAGCGTTACCAGCTGGATCTGGTTGGGCTCACCTCTACGCATAGCGTCGGCTCTGGAACCTTACTTCTGGATAGGGGTTGGACTCTATTCTTCTCCGGAGTTGCTCAAGCTGTGAGGCGCCGGGCGGGTGTGGGGATACTCACAAATCCCCGGTTGGGTGCTTCGTTGTTGGAGTTTACCCCAGTGGACGAGATGGTCGCCTCCCTACGCCTGCGGGTTATGGGGGGGAAATCTCTGACTGTTGTATGTGCTTATGCACCAAACAGCAGTTCAGAGTATACAGCCTTCTTGGAGACCCTGGAAAGAGTCCTGTATGGGGCTCCTGAAGGGGACTCTTTAATCTTGCTGGGAGACTTCAACGCACATGTGGGCAATGATGGAGACACTTGGAGGGGCGTGATTGGGAGGAACGGCCCCCCTGATCTGAACCGGAGTGGTGGTTTGTTACTGGACTTCTGTGCTAGTCATGGATTGGCCATAACAAACACCATGTTCGAACATAAGGATGCTCATAAGTGTACGTGGTACCAGAGCACCCTAGGCAGAAGGTCCATGATCGATTTCGTTATCGTATCATCGGACCTGAGGCCGTATGTTTTGGACACTCGGGTAAAGAGAGGGGCGGAGTTGTCAACTGATCACCATCTGGTGGTGAGTTGGGTCGAGTGGCGGGGGAAGCCTCTGGATAGACCTGTTAAGCCCAAACGTGTAGTTTGGGAGAACTGGGAACGTCTGGAGGAGGCCCAAGTTCAGGAGGCCTTCAACTCACACCTCCGGCAGAGCTTTTCGGGCATTCCTGTGGAGGTTGGAGACATTGAACCAGAGTGGTTGGTGTTCAAAGCCTCTACTGCCGAAGCCGCAGCGGGGAGCTGTGGTCTCAAGGTCTTAGGTGCCTCAAGGGGCGGTAACCCTCGAACCTCCTGGTGGACACCGGTGGTCAGGGAAGCCGTCCGACTGAAGAAGGAGGCCTTCAGGGATTTGTTATCCCGGGGGACTCCCGAGGCAGTTGCAAGGTACCGACAGGCCCGAAGGGCAGCAGCCTCAGCCGTGGCCGAGGCAAAGCAGCGGGTGTGGGAGAAGTTCGGAGAAGACATGGAAAAGGACTTTCGGGCGGCACCAAAGTTGTTCTGGAAAACTGTCCGACACCTCAGGAGGGGGAAGCAGGGAACCATCCAAGCTGTGTACAGTAAGGATGGGACGTTGTTGACCTCAACTGATTGAGTGTTAGGGCGTTGGAAGGAACACTTTGAGGAACTCCTGAACCCGACAACTCCGCCCTCTATGTTAGAGGCAGAGCTGGAGTATGACGGGGGATCAACACCAATCTCCCGGGTGGAGGTCACTGAGATCGTCAAACAACTCCACAGTGGCAAAGCCCCGGGGATGGATGAGATCCGCCCAGAAATGCTGAAGGCTCTGGGTGTTGAGGGACTGTCATGGTTGACAAGTCTCATCAACGTTGCGTGGAAGTCGGAAACAGTACCGAAGGAGTGGCAGACCGGGGTGGTGGTTCTCCTTTTCAAAAAGGGGGATCAGAGGGTGTGTGCCAATTAGAGGCATCACACTACTCAGCCTCCCCGGGAAAGTTTACTCTAAGGTACTCGAAAGGAGGGTCAGGCCGATTGTCGAACCCCAGATTGAGGAGGAACAATGCGGATTCCGTCCTGGTCGTGGAACGATGGATCAGCTTTTTACTCTCGCAAGGATCCTGGAGGGAGCCTGGGAGTACGCTTATCCGGTCTACATGTGTTTTGTAGACTTGGAGAAGGCGTATGACCGAGTTCCCAGGGAGTTACTGTGGGAGGTGCTGCGGGAGTATGGGGTGAGGGGGTCTCTACTCAGGGCCATCCAATCTCTGTACTCCCAAAGCGAGAGCTTTGTCCGGGTCCTCGGGAGTAAGTCGGACCCATTTCCGGTGATGGTTGGCCTCCGCCAGGGATGCGCTTTGTCACCAATCCTGTTTGTAATATACATGGATCGGATTTCGAGGCGTAGTCGTGGGGAAGGGGGTCTGCAGTTCGGTGGACTAAGGATTGCACCACTGCTTTTTGCAGATGATGTGGTTCTAATGGCTTCATCGGTCTGCGACCTTCAGCACTCACTGAATCGGTTCGCAACCGAGTGTGAAGCGGCTGGGATGAGGATCAGCACCTCCAAATCTGAGGCCATGGTTCTCAGCAGGAAACCGATGGACTGTCCACTCCAAGTAGGGAATGAGTCCTTACCCCAAGTGAAGGAGTTCAAGTATCTCTGGGTCTTGTTCTCGAGTGAGGGAACAATGGAGCGTGAGATGGGCCGGAGAATCGGAGCAGCGGGAGCGGTACTGCAGTCGCTTTACCACACCATTGTGACGAAAAGGGAGCTGAGCCAGAAGGCAAAGCTCTCTGTTTACCGGGCCATTTTCGTTCCTACCCTCACCTATGGTCATGAAGGATGGGTCATGACCGAAAGAACGAGATCGCGGATACAAGCGGTCGAGATGGGTTTTCTCCGCAGGGTGGCTGGTGTCTCCCTTATGGATAAGGTGAGAAGTTCGGTCATCCGGGAGGGACTCGGAGTTGAACCGCTCCTCCTTCGCGTCGAAAGGAGCCAGTTGAGGTGGTTCGGGCACCTAGTTAGGATGCCACCTGGGCGCCTCCCTAGGGAGGTGTTCCAGGCACGTCCAGCTGGGAAGAGACCAAGGGGTAGACCTAGGACCAGGTGGAGGGATTATATCTCTTCGCTGGTCTGGGAGCGCCTTGGGATCCCCCAGTCAAAGCTGGTTGATGTGGCCAGGGAAAGGAAAGTTTGGGGCTCTCTACTGGAACTGCTACCCCCGCGACCCGACCACGGATAAGCGGGAGAAGATGGATGGATGGTTTTCTTCTCAACGGTTGCCGTCATGGAGTCAGTGGTTGCCTTCGTTCAATTTACGGATTTCTCTTGTTTTGAAATGAGTTAGAAAATGTTGAGTTTTGTAACTTTATACGTTGTCATTAGAAAAGTTAATTCAGCAACAAAACTCTAGTAGGCAAATAGAGTGTTTCCAGAGTCTTTTTACAACATTTTGGGGATTGCCCTTTCGAATAGTAAGGTCCAAAAAATAAATGTTTTCCACATTTTGTGTGCAAGAACTCGGCTGGCCTCCGCAGAGCCCTGACCTCAACCCAACCCAAGTCCTCAGGGTGGGCTGGAGTGCAGACAGTGAGCGGCCTTATTGCCCGTTGTCAGTGTCTGACCTCACTATTGCTCTGGGGGCTGAACAGGAGCAAATGCCTGCAATCAGGTCCTAAAATCTTGTGGAAAGCTTCACCAGGTACTACATTTAGAAAAGGGTTTTAGAAATGACAACTAATGGTGTTGTCATTGGTAATTGATTCTTCTGTAAATGCTTTAGAGATCAGTTACTCTGTAGATCTGTTATGAGTATTAGAGAACTACAGGATGGAGATCTAGAAAATTATTCAGCCTTTTTGTACTTCCAGCTGCTTCTCAAAGTCAATGGGTTTTTTGATTATATTCTTGAAATACAGTATGTGGTTAAAATAAAATAAGATTTTTGTTCTATGTCATAAATAACACCAGTAATTACCCCACGCATGAATTTCAAAAGGGCCCTATTATGCATTATGCTATTGTGGTATGTAGGTTTTTGTGCATGTAAATGGTCTGCAAAGGCTAAAATCCCTGTTACCTCCAGAGGGAGTTACTCTCTCACACACTTTCCCCTGCCTGAAACAACTTGATTGGACTCCTTTGTTTACTTCTGTAACATTTGGACATCACTCTACTGTAATACTCCAACTTCTATTGGCTACCTACCCTGCTAGCTTGCAGTGCTACATACAGCTGTCACCTGATTGGTTGTGCGTCAACATTTCAGCGGTAACTATGTCAAAGATGAAATAATTAGAACTTTGAGCACAGCACTCGCAGACTATTTTGACCGAATAAACGACAGAGAGGGTAGAGCTTCCGCCTAGTCGCTCCCTCCATAGAAACACAATGTCGCGCAGAGCTGCTTGCTAGTTTCCATGTGAATGCAGCTTAAGGGGTGGGACATCAGTAAGCGATTGACCAATCACAACAGAGCTGGCCAGCTTACCTAGAGCAGACTGGGCTCTGGTTTCAGACAGAGGGTGAAAAGAGGTGCTGCAGCACAGGCAGTATGAGAAAACGAACATTAAAGCATGGAAGGCAGTCACAGTAGAGGCACAAATTACACATTTAAAACCAGAACATTAGCATAGTAGGGACCCTTTAAAGGTTTTATGCATGATCATCTAATTAGGGGAGGGTACGTTGATATCAAGGGATCTTGGCTTGAATTGTTTATAACATTGTATTTTTAATTCCAGCAATTGCATTGCTGCAACTTTGATACTTATTGTCACTGATAAACTTTGGTTTGCCATAGAGCTTTTTTTTGACGATAATCCAAAATCCAGTGCAAGTACAGTACAAAAGCTTTTGTAAAAAACATTAATTTAAACCATCAAACCGTCTAATAGGTCCCCAAGTCTGAACCTTAACATATTATGAGTCCTAAAAATCAAGTACTGTCCGTCCATCTATCCATTTCCCCCCCCCCCCCCCCAACTTCCCTCACACATAAAGACCCTCTCAACTGAAGCTCTTGATTGCCATCTGCTGATATGTAGCCACAATTACACCATATGGCTGAAACACTTCTCAAAGTCATGGTAATGCTTCATTAAAACAGGAGAGATGATTTTCAGTGATGTACAAAGTTTTATTATTTTAGAAGAAGGTACAGTTACATGATGGTGTTGAACTAAGAGCTACTGTTTCATGTAAAACTCTACAGGTCCTCTCTTTGGGTTGTAGAAAACATGCCAGCAGGTTTGTTTCTGAAAAAAATCTTGTGTGAACAGTCTCTACTAAATCATGTTAATGTTAAAACTTTATAATTTCCTATGACTCGGGTTAGTTTTTATAACAACTGTTCATGCTTCAGATCCGAATCCCATGCTTTTAGCATTACTCGACTAAAAATCTGCACTCAGGCCACAGGGCGTCCTATGCAACAATGCACTTGCACTACTTTTATGAAAGTACATTTATATTTACTTATAAACAATAGGTGTTTGTGTGAAAGATAAGGCCATGTAGATGTTGGTAAAGGATGGTTTCTTGCTTGCCTTGCTTGCTTGTTATTGCATTTCCTCGTTAAGTGCAGAAGTGACATAGCAGCAGAGAGTCTAGGTGACTGACTTATGCATTGCAGGCTTAACACCATCATGTCCCATTAGACAGTCCAACCTCAACACTGCATGTTGTAGGATAACAGTACAAAATAAATGAGCTAATGCCCATTTGAGCCCATATTGTTTCCATATGTGGCATCTGTCCTTGTATTTCATGTGAAAATAATTTGGTTTTGCCTAGAAAAAGAAAGCCATTGAAATCAACAAGCTAGGCTGCATTGAAATGATTGTAATTGAGCCCCTTTAAAAACTGTAGCTTGAAACCACTCATGCATGCACATTTTTATGTATGTCTGTATTTAAGAGAAATTCTCATGGAATTTGTCTGCCGACTCATGGCTGGTTTTGTATCCTGCACTCTTTAAATAAATCACCAACAGTAACATGCCATGCAGCCGGTTCATTTTTCGATGGGGAAGTATCAAAGCAATACTTTGAGGGGGAGTCCTTCTGTAAACACCAGCCGGGTTATCGATGATGAAAAGCAAGCATATTTCTTTTTTACTCTGCAAGAATCTAATTGATTATCATAGCTAGGGTTTTGGCATCATAACACCTCAAGTCATTTAAAGGTATAGAAGTTAGCAAGACACTACGCTAACCAGGACTTAAACAATTTTGCATGACTAAATCACACATAAGGGGAAATGGTATTAATGGAGTAACAGGAGAAGTGCTGAAGTGCACTCACTGGAAGGTAATCAAGGTGATTTTGTTTCATAAAATGTCAAAATGAAGTGTCATAAATCACATTTAAGAAATTCAATAAAATGACCCCAATTAAGATAATAAATGTCCCTAAATAGCTTTTTTCTAATTAAACAAGATCCTGATAGATGCAATGCAGTTAAGCGTTGCTTAATAAACAAAAAAGGTGATACAAACGACCCTTTGATTGTATTTCCAGTTATAAACTGCTAATTATAACCATACGCCTAAAGGTGGAATCCACTATTCTAATCAAATGAAACTTTTGTCAACTTGAGTAAATATCTCCCTTTGAGTTTGCTAACCGTCTGCTCTGTGTTTGTTCTTTCACAGCCCTGGTTCTGTAAGTGTGAAAAAAGCAAAAGGACACAACACCATTCCAGCCAATCAGCAACCGGGGGCAGAACATGGATGTATTTATAAAGGGAAAGGCAGTGGGAGGGATGGTAAATCTGGAGCAGGGTATTTGTTGGTATTGAGTTCAAATATCAACAACCTTTCTTTAGAATCGCTGACTTAACTTTTAACCTTAAATAGCACGGTCAGCAGTAACAGTCAGTCAGTTGGCTACAAGGTCACATGATAGGTCACCTAATGCGCCTCTCTGCCAGGCGTAGCAGTTCTTCCTGACCTACTTCAGTCCGGGCCACCCCCTTTCTCCGCATGAGACCTCTCCGGTGAAGGACAGAGGTGAGGGGGCGTAGAGGTCGGAGTCTGTGTCTGATTCGCCCTCTGCTATGAAGGGTCGTACCCTGGCACAGATTGAAGGAGCAGCGGCGGCTTCAGGCGCTGCGTTGGCACCCCCTCCTGAGCCCGTGAAGAAAGTCGGCCCAAAGAAGTCCTCCTTTGCCTGGGAGATGCTGAAGCCGCTGAAGGAGCGATCCAGCTCCTCGTGGTCAACAGATGGGATGGATAGAGAAGTATCGCTCTCTACGGCGGTGGCGTCTTGCTGGCACCTCGGCCTCCGGTGGCGCCCTCCTGCTCTGGGAGTCGCTCTCTCTGCTGCCCGGGCCAGAAGAGCCTCGCTCGTGAACTGGAGCAGGTGGAGGCGGGAGGCGGAACAGGTTGGGCGAATGGTCTCTGCTGCCTCCCACTGGTGATGGGGAGTTGGCCACGCTGCTGTTCCAGGCGGGCTGGCTGAGGGGGTGCTGCAGCTGGTGCTGCCAGGAGGTAGAGGCGCGACTGTGGCTGCCAGAGGGAGTGCCCATCGATATCGCCACTGAGCGACCCAGTAAAGGATCTTTCTTTTCCAAAGAGCCGTCAGAGCAGGGGAGTTCTGCAGGTGAGCATATCTGCACCTCCTTCTCCTCCTTCAACTCCTCTTTGCCCTCCTTCTCCTCCTCTGGGCTGTGGTAAGGCGGGGCTGGGTACGGCTCTTTGGAGTTGAAAAAGGCATCTGTTTCTGATCGAGGGATACGTTGCACGTACACATTGACCAGGAAATCTAGTTTCCTGTCCATAGAGACCACCTGCAGGTAGACAGAAAAACATGTACGGAAGGTTCTGACAGGCACCTGTCAACAAAGGATTCGGGTGATACAGTTTCTTGATCTAAAGTGTTTACTCTCCTCTATTGACGATGACTTAAAAAAGTAAAAAACATTTTATTTATTCAACAGTAACGTTTTTCTAAGTAACTAATGTGGACGCTCCAAAGGGGCGTGGCCAGCAGCAGCTCATTTCCATTTAAAGCTACTGACCCAGAATCAGCACTTTTGTAACAGGGCTGAAACAGAGGGGTATGAGGCTTGGCTACAATGGGTATTTTGAGCAAAACACTTCAGAGATATTTTTTGTATAGATATGGCCCTATAATATATTGTTCAAATATAGCATAATAGGTGAGCTTTAAGTCAAAACACAGGAGATAAAACTAAGACCAGACAATGGTCTTGGACAATATATATTTTGTTCACTTCCATAAAAAGGTATTCATACCAAGTATTTAACAATGTTTAAATTCAGAAAAACAATAGTACAAATAATCCAACTCATAGGCTACTACTTTCCCACAGCTGGAAGCAACAGCCCTACCTGCTTCTCCACTTTCACCAGACGTCCCATCATGCTCTGGTCATCTGAAGCCTCTCCGTCACCTTTGGGCCCTTTACCAACTATCTGGTCAACTCTAGCATTGGAGAAAAATAATATCCGGTATTAAAAAACACTCTGTTCTGCCACATGGGTTTACATTTAAGAAGTGTATGATGCCATAATGTGAACTGGTACATGGAAAGTAGGTTTACAGTAGGTTATATGATGCTCATAAAGCTACAAATACTGTATGTTTAGAATGAATGAAGGATGGCCTAATATTTGAGCATTTCCTGAGGAAACATTGATTTCAGGTGGACAGTGTGGACGCATGCTTTATGAGATGAGGCGATATTGACAGTATGTGTATATGGGGTATATTTGATCTAAGGGCCAAAATGCATCACTTGGCATGCTTTTGTTTTGCTTCATGCTTCATTTCCATTGCATCCTGCTGGGGGAGCCGTCCTTCTATCTCTCCAATATGAGAACAAGCATCTAGCACTATCAAACCCCTGTTGAGTGAGGCCATATGACATGGCTCATTAACATTGAGTGAGAACAGCTGATTATGTGACGAAAAGGTACCTGCACAAATTCCCTTAAAGAGGACATATTATGCTCATTTTTAGATTCATAATTGTATTTGGTTTGAATACTGTGACTTGTCTTAATGTTTAAATGGGTCTTTTTTTTCTCATACTGCCTGTGCTGCGGCATCTCTTTTCACCCTCTGTCTGAAACCAGAGCCCAGTCTGCTCTGATTGGTTAGCTGGCTGGCTCTGTTTTGATTGGTCAACTGCTTAGAGACGTCCCACCCAGGTACATTGTAGTGCTAGCCAATAGAAGGGTGAGTGTAAAATAGTGATGTCACAAAAACCGGTATAACAGACTACAGGAAAGGGAAAGCCCCCAAAAGCCACGATAAGGCCCCTTGGAGATATATTTTATAAATTATGTGTTGTAAATTGTAACACGTTTTTTTATGATATAAAATGTAGCTTCATCTCAGCATGTATAATCCAGCTCAATGAGAGAGGTCAAGTGGCTTGAACTCAAAAGGGGTTCTGTCAATCAAAATAATAAGGCAGCATGTTACTGCCTTAATGTTTGGACTATAAAGAGCAATATGCTGGTAACATTCTAGAGGTGCAGTCTATTGACCTAACCTATGACCTTCAGTGGACTTCTTATGGCGAGGTGTTGAGGGGGGAGGGGGCCCCACAATCATATCTATCCTGGCAAGGCACACAGAGACGATATGAGTGCAATGCAAAATGAAGCAACGCAGGAATCACATCAGCTATGGAGAACACGTTTTCAATATATTCCACACACACAAGACATACGGTGAGTCTGACTTGCTTCGTGGATGAGGAGTGCATGTTTTTCGCTGTTGGAATATATTTATTCTACATGTTAGACCTTCAAGGGGAGCAAAATGTGAGGGACTTAGGTAAAACAATGTGATTTATACATCAATGTTATATCTAAAAAATGGAATTGTGACACATTCAAAGCTGGAGTGGATCGTATTTTGAGATATAAATGTGACGACTGGGAACACAACACATGTCGTTGGACAAATGAAACAGGCAAATCAATGACAACATGTGTGTATCCAAAAACACTGCATTACTGAATCACAGTTCTACTATTAACACTCAGTTTAAACTAATATTAAACTTAAGATATGAGTCTGAAAATTCTTCCAAGTATCCCCCATATCCGTCCTGATATTTTTGAACTCACAGTGAAAGTGACAACCAGGCAGGTTATTCACTCTGAGGAGACCTAGAGATAAGTGTGGTTTAGATTTAAATTGCAACATAGTGTGTTTTGAACGTTCACTTGCCTGGACTGCAGGTTCTTGATGCGGGACAGCATGTCCAAGTGACCTGCCGAGTACTGCTCGATCACGTCCATGACATCATAAGGCCGCAAGCTCTCTTTGAACCGCCTCTTTGACACCAGAAACTTCATGATGCTGAGGGGGGACACATTATTTTCTCACATGAAACACAGAGTACGTGAGTAGGCTTTTTTTCACAGCTGACATTTAAATTGTCAGTATACCACAGGTCTTACTTATTATAATATGAAAACTAGCTTTGTTCTATTCATTAGTCTCAGTTAGTCATGACCAGGGCCACCCCTGGCCAACTTGTGACCAGGGGCGGCCCTGGTCATGACAGAGGAACATCAAGCTAGCATGCAAAAAAACAGGACCCTAAAGGCCCTGACACACCAAACTGACACCAAAGAACACGTCCCGACGGACTCGAATGTTGTGTCGCCTCACGTCTCCGTGGCCAAAGAGTCGCACTGGAACACACCGCAAAGACTTCAGCCGACGGCCAAGTAGCACATAAGCACTGCGCATGCATGAGTGGCAATAACTCTCCTTACCAGCAGGCGGCGGTAGTGTGTATTCATCATTCAAAAGAGGCAACCGGAAGACAGACTGCATGATATATAGAGTGGCGAAGTCACGCCCATCTACTTCCGGACCTTATTTCGGAAAAATAATGTATTGAAGTCAATGGAGAGAGAAAACGTATCTTTCAATCCCGTTTGAATTGTGCCATGAATTACACATATGATGTTTGTCAATCTTAAAAAATAATTTCCATGTAAAAAAAGTCACAGTTTGTCGTAAAACTGTTGAAATATAAGACTATGAAAAATACGCAACTAGAAAGACTACACATCCCAGAGTCGCGTAAGTGATGTCATAACTGATGTCACAATTGTTTTCCTCCGCTAAATATAAGAGATAGCTAAAATAAGATAACTTTAACAAGATGCCTGTGTGCTTAGTACCAGGTTGTTATCATACCAGAAATGGGTCTTGCTCGTTCTTTCGCTTCCCGTCTGATGAAAGGACCAGGAGTGGCTGGATCAAGTTAGCTACCTAGCTAGCAGCAAGTACGTTAGTTAGCATTACAGCCTTAGCCTTGTCATTTTTATTAGCCTTAATATGAAGTAACATGAAGTAACCCAAAATGTTAAACAGTAAGAGTAGTAGTCATATTTCATGAACCCTTTGAAGAGTACTGTCACACCGGTGTGATCAGTCTATAATACACCATTTAAGCAGGGTTGCCAACTCTCACGCATCTGGCGTGTGACACACGCTTTCACTCTCAATCTCACGCTCTCACGCTGCCCAAACTATTCTCACGCCAAAAACAAGAATACCGAAGACTAGAAACGGTTTTGAAAACTTTTGTCACGTAGTGATCGACTTCTTAATAGAACATCTTTGATAATGTCTTCTGGCCAATCAGAATCACGATAACGGCGTGGTGTTGTTGCAGGAAGTCCCGACGGAGAATACTTTTGCTGTAGTACATCTCTATATACATCGATACAACATTACGTGTTGATAGAAACCAACACGTAATGAAATAAGACTCCACGGTTTGATGATTGATAGGTGTGTGGGCTGTCTTTCATTTTGACACACAGAACACTGGGGGCTATCCACCCTTATCCACAATGTAAAGTAATTCACAGCCTCTTCTCTCTGTGAGGAGCAGCAGGTTCAGCTTTCAGAACAAAGTAACACAAAACTAAAATGGCATTCATTTTCTTAAATGTGTAGTAATAGATTTGTTTATTTTTCTTCTCAAGAGAGTACCAGAATGTGTATTTTATGTTAGTATTTCAAAAAATCTCCTGGGGGAGAATCCCCCCAGACCCCCCTGCAGGAGTTGGGTTTTCAGCAGGTCAACTTTTTCACCTGTGGGGAAATGGGAGGATTGGCTCCAGGTCGCCCTTTTTATTTACTACAAGACAAATGTGCCTTTTTATTTCATACAGTTCAATTTGGATTGAGACAGGGAAATAATCTAAACCTCACGCGTGGCGTTTCACTGTCAAGGGGAGCGGGTATGTAATTAGGCTACATTGCAAATACTGACTTGAGCCCCACCACTGTATGGGTTAGCCCTACCATGGAAAACCCAACAAAAATACTGCCGACCCTAAGATCCGGTAGAAATGATAAAAAGTAAAGTCTGCTGCTTATTGTTCTACTAGGCCAAAATAGAGTCAAAGAGTATGGGAGTGAGAGTGTGTTAATTAATATATTTGGCAGTTTGGAGTAAGTCTGTAGATTTGTGTGTGTGTGTGTGTTTCATGTATAGGCCTCTCACGATAATTAATTTTGTTGGATACATTTTCCCGGAAATTATTGCGATAAACGATAATATTGTCGGCACTGTTGTATGACCATTTTAGACCACTGACATAATGATAATATATAACAGTAATTCAAGTACATCCTTTCAAACTGCTAGTCACATCCTCATGTAAATGGCAATGTATCAGGTTCATTTCTATTTATCGTACGATAAGTCAATGAATTGCTTATCGCGACAGGCACACAATAAAACAGTGGAAACAAACATGTGTTTGACTTTCATTAGTGAATGAAACTTTGTACCCTTTATAGTCTGTGTCCAATATTGTGTATTTGTATATATTGTATATGAATCCGCTAAGGTCCCGCTGCTGACACGATAGCAGTCATTTCGTGCGCATATGTGTAATCAAACCCATGATATCAAAATCTCACTCCAGCCAGGAACCCAAAGTTGGCAACCCTGCATTTAAGTCCAGGGAAGAAATGCTAACACTAACGCTACATTAGCATCGGCGATCTTTTCTACTTCATGCTATCTGCACAAATGGTTGACATTAAACATTAAAAAGATCAGGCAGTTCAGAGAGAATCAAAGGAAGGCAGGCAGGCAGCTTTGCATGACATTCTTCTGGACGTGTTTCATTGTGGTGATAGTGAGGGTAGACAATCACTTTTTTGACAAGACAGTAGTGACGGCCATCTTGGTGACGTGTGTTGTTGTGAGAGTCTGCGAGACCAGAGATGTAGTTCATTAAGCGTTTCACACAAAAAAATGTGTTACTTCACAGTTTTATGACACATTTTTTTTTTTTTGACTTGCAAAATTATCTTTTAAATTGACAAACATCATATGTGTAATTCGTCGCACAATTCAAACGGGATCGAAAGATAATCTTTCTCTCTCCATTGACATCAATACATAATTTTTCCGAAATAAGGTCCCATGGAGCTCCCCCGAAAGGGGAGGGACTTTGCCACTCTATACAAACGTCAGCTCTCTGAAGCAGTAATAAACTATTTAAGCATTGTGGCTGACAAGCTTAAAGTACTGCTGCTACCACATTACATGCATCAGTAATTATAATCCAAGATTATATTAATATACAACATCATAACACTGAAAGGCAAATGATGTATCATCATGTGTACATCTGTATCTTCTGACTTGTATTGTAGTATAGCTAATTGTATCCTCATTCTAATGTTGTGTTATCTAATGGCTGTAGTATGAAGGTACGAAATAAAGTTTTGTATTTTGCAGTAGCGGTAAAAAGTGGTTTATTATCAAATGTAGAACTGTACAATGCAAACAATCGACAATAAGATAAAAATAGTAAGTATATATACAATAAAATCGTCCAGGGTCCTGTCCGTTAAATATTTGAAGAAGCTATTGTCCACCTCATGCAGGAAGTGTGGCAGCAAATTACATGGCAACTGAGTTGCCATTCCAGATCGCCATGATGTAAAATCATGATTGCGTCCAGGTGAGATGAAAATGAAAAATAATAGCAGTCTGTGTGTGCCTAATCATTTGTTTGCATACCTCACTTCCGTTTTGCTTCTCATGCACTGATTTGCTAAGCTGAACAGCCAATCAGAGTGATTTATTCTGCAGACAGCCTCCGCTGCAGATTCAACATGGTCAATCGGCAGCGGAAGGTTTCGGCACGGCCGAAAATACACGACGGTGCGGGACACACCAATCTGAGTAGGGCGACAGGACGCTCAACGACGGCCAGACATCTATCGACGGCCGAAATCGGCTTGGTGTGTCAGGGCCTTAAAACTGAAGCAGCTAAATTGAATAAATAAAATGTTGTTATGTTTTTGTTGGTCTGTCCCATTGTAAGCAGCAACGTACTGATCCTATGTTAATGGAACTGAAACCCTAACCCTAACTTGGTGGAATGGTGTTGCATGGGCCAAGGAATTATCAGTTCGGTGCGGATACATATTTATTTTCTACCTCAACCAAGAGGCTCATGTTTTAGGATCGGATCGTTTGATATGTTTTTTTTGACCCAATTATAATGAAAGTTGTTGGAATGGTCGAGCTTGGGCCAAGAAAGTACACTTTGTATATTGAAGCGAATACAAATTATATTTTCACTTGGTTTAACATTTTCCGATGACCTTGGCGTGGCATTCTTGTATTTTAATATATCTGACTGTATTACTTCATGCACGTTCAGACTTAGTTTTTACCACATTTGCAAATCACAACTATTCATTTGTTAGGTACAAATTATTAGTTTATTATTGCTTATAAATGATGTCCAAATCTAAAAAAGCAATGTTTTCCGTTAATCACTGTTTGAGCTAGTGAAGCCTGCACCATTGGTGGAAGGAAAAGCCATAAATATCATTCATAGTTTTCTTTCTCCATGGGTGAAATAAATATTGCAGAACCATCAAAAAAAGGGAATAAAAGTGATTCCTTACCATATTGCCCTTATTGTCACCCTCAAGCCTGGAGGTAATTCCTGAGTGAGAAACTCACAGTGGCAGCTCTTATCATCACCAATTTCCTCTCCTGGGAGGCTGGCCTCTACAGAGCAAAGACAAGGACACTCGTAAACATTATGAAATCTGCTTTCACACCCAGCATCCACCGCAGAAGCAAAGCAGGGCTGTTTGCTTGAAGCTTTCAAGGAGTGCAAAATTCAATTACCAAGTTGGTTTCAAGCCAGCTAGCCAGTTTGTGAGGGTAGTGGCGGGCTTTGAGGAACAACAGAAAAAAGGACTTGGTGCAGAATTGAAGGATAGTGCTGATAGGATAAAGCTTTTCTAAAACCTTCCATAAAAGTACTCTCTTCCCACCACCAATAATAGGCTTAGCATTGTAATCTATGGATTTAGTTGCATGTCGCACACAGGCAAGGGGTTCAAGGCCTTATCATAGTTAGTTATTAAGTGAGATTTTGGTAGGGAAAGTGAGGTTTCTTCATGCAACATAAAGCAGACTTTTGTCTCTGGGTCAAATTTGGATTATCTTGGCGCTATTTGACTTGAACCCAAATTAATTTAGCCGCCCATTTATGTAAAAAGAATTTATAAAGACTGTAAGAGCTGTAAGATTATAGTTAATCTTACAGCTCTTACAGTCTTTATAAATACATGCTTGCTCTCAGCTAGTATCATGCTTCAGTCTTCAGTCATCGTTGAGGGGGGGGGAATAAAAAAGGGTTCATGTCAAGTAAACAAATCTCAGCAGTTCTCAACATGCAGGTTTGTCAGACCAGTAAAGCTAACTTTTCTTTAAATTATTTTCCCCAAAGAGGACAACCAACAAAATATCCCAATGTCTTACTTATTAAACCTTCAATTGCTGCAAAGAGAGAGAGAGGAGAGACATGGAGAAAGATTTGTTATGGATTCTAGCCGGATGACAATGGCAGACAAATCACTTCCAAACATGGGAACTGGTTTAGTCAACTGAATGATTTCTGACTCGTGTTCGAAACAGCTGGTCTCTCTTCTCTTACATGTAACAAATCACATATATCATACAGCTTCATGTAACATATGGTAAAGTAACAGCCAGACAATACAGAGTAAATCAAAGTCTAAATTGAAGACATGTCATCATGACTTGTCTAAACTGGAGAACTCTTCAGACCAAAGTCTTCATCCTGCCTTTCAATCAGCACTTTAACATGCCATGAATTGGAAGAAGAAAAATAACTGATTGAACAAATTGTTTTAGAAACAAGAAATGAAAAGTATATTTGTTGATAGTGACACAGTGGCCTCGAGGACATGTGGATGCAGTTGGGCTGCCTAGCTATCAAATTATGTCTGGACACCAACATCCAAATATGTCTCCCCCGCAAAACATTGGAATCTTGCCTTTAGTGCCGAGATAATCTCCCTGTTTGCCACAGATGTTTGAATGCATGCAGTGGAAACAATATGGCAATATTACCTGCATTTGTCTGTACAATTACTTCGAAGAGGCTTTATTGTAATACATTATTTCTAAAAACACACAGCTTGTGACATGAGTGCATGAAGCCACACAAAACTATATGATGAATCAACCCAGTCTCACGGCATTTCGTGTTCACCAACACGATTTTTAATCTATTGATTCGTGTTCACCAACACGATTTGCCCCTTTTTTTCGTGTTGCACAGCACGATTTTAAAAGCAATGTATTTCTACTGCCTGCAGCACGTCTTTTTCTCCGGTCTGGTCGTGGGAGACCGGAAGCTGTGTGGTTCATAAAAACATGTTCTTACTCAATATCAAGCCACAATTATTGCTTTTATTTTAAATCGTATAATTTCGGACTTTTGTTGCCGTCTGTGAGGAAAATAAATGGGGCTCAGAGCCTCAGAATACGGAAATCTGTATTTTAAAATGTTTTTTTTTTTTTTTAAATTTCCTTCTAATTCGTTATTCTTTTCAAAATAACACACTGTTATTTACTCACCAATAACACACAATTATCCTTGCTTTTATTTATTGGTTTAATTCAATAATATCGGGCTTTTTTGGCATCCGTCAGGAACTGAATTTCAAAATAAAAATAACCGGAAACAGACGTAGGCCTATAAGGGACATTTCGAGCATCATTGCGATTGTCAAAATGTCTGAGTTTAGGATGGCCGAAGACACTACACTACCCATAATCCCCAGCTATCGTTTAGGACTACAGTCCCCGTAAGGTTACGCAGAGCGTCAAACAGCTGTGTGAAATGGAACGAAACCACGCCAGACTATCCATAACTGGAATCGAACGCCCCCCCAGAACTACACATGCTGGCTATTGTGTTTCGCAAAATGTTCTATGGGACGTCTCTACTGAACGTTTTCGTTTTTCCCACAATTAGAAGTTGCAAGTATTAAACACATTGGTGTTATCAAATGTAAAATATATAATTAATAAATGGGTGAAAATCGCTTGTGTCCATAATGCGCATCATTAATACCCAAATGACAGCTCATTGTTACTTTGTAATTCTACTCCACTACAATTCAGAGGTTAACCTGGTATTTTTACTCCACTGCATTTATTTGAGTTACTTTGCAGATTCTGATTAATTATGTGAAATATAAACAACCCTTAAATTAGACTTTAGTTACACCTGAGTAAAATTCAGGTAAGGTGATTGTCAAGTGCCAACAATCAGGAGAGATATTTGATAGTTGGTGCTTGAGAAGACTAAACATGTATCTGCAATTGACATGAATGGAAACGAGTAATAAAGTATATTCATTACTCGTTATTCTCTACTAATAGTTAATTAAAGACTGTATATTATGGCTATTTTGCACATCCCTTTCAAGATTTTCAAAGGTTTATTGACAACTACGGTGTAGTTATGCAATGAATGAAACACTTGGGTCACAGGTTCCTCAACAGTGCATTACAAGACATCTATCAATATGTGTGTACCTCCACCATTAAACTGTCATATTCTGCACATTTCTTATTCTATCTACATACATAAGAGTATAATTCATATGTATAATATCAGTTAAAATAAGTGCTTCAAAATAGTTAACATTGCAGGAAAGCAATATATTAGATGTTAAGTACTTTGTCAGGCTTAATATTTATCTGTAGATAGATACCCCCAAAGTTTTTTTCTTATTTAAAAGAAGACCTTAATCTGTTATTTAATGTTTAAATAAAGGTTAATTCGTTTTTCTGTTTTGCACCTCCTCCTATTAATATCTTTGTACATTCTGCACTAAACTGTTTTATTGTAGAGATAACTTATAGTATCTTCTTGATTTTTTATATTCTATATTTATACTTTCCTCCTATGAAAGTATGTACTCTTAATATTTTTTTAATCAAATAAAACACAATAATTCAATAACGTGCTTTAACCACTAGGAGGTGCACACAAGGTACACACAGCCATAATAACTTTGTATTATTAGTGTAGGACACTTATGTATGTACAACATCTGAAGATGTGTAGTTTTATGCATGTTTTCACATAATTTACAGCATATTGCTATACTATTTCAGACTCAGTATTTACATTCTTACATTCAAAGAAAATCAGTAATATCTTTAAAAACTACAGTCCTTTTATATCAGCTGTGCACCGTTATGGTGTAAATATAACCTATCTGTGAATTAGATCAAATGTAAAAGTCAGCCGAATTAGTGTTGATACTGCAAGGAGACGTATTGTGTGAAGAGAAATTGAAGATGTTGTTTAATTGTTGAATATATTTATGATCCACGTCAAGTATTCAGTTTCGGCGGCATTTTCTCAGTTTTTCCAAAGGTCTTCTCATCAGGGCTCTATAAATAAAGAACTATGGCAGATCTGTAATATACAATGCAGCCGAACCGTGTATTACAATGCCGTTATGTGATGACTTTCAAAGAGAAAAGCAAGAGTGCTCGGAATTAAGTATTATTTTATTCTTTTAAAATGTTTTCCGGATTTCATATAATATAAACACCAAATCCCAGCATGCATTGCGGCTAAAACATCCAATAAGCGAGCTTAAAACCATAGCTGAGGATCTTGGGTAATCGCTCGAAATGCCTACGTCTGTTTCCGGTTATTTTTATTTTGAAATTCAGTTCCTGACGGACGCCAAAAAAGCCAGAGATTATGGAATTAAACCAATAAATAAAAGCAAGGATAATTGTGTGTTATTGGTGAGTAAATAACAGTGTGTTATTTTGAAAAGAATAACAAATTAGAAGGAAAAAAATATTTAAAAAATACAGATTTCAGTATCCTGAGGCTCTGAGCCCCATTTATTTTCCTCACAGACGGCAACAAAAGTCCGAAATTATACGATTTCAAATAAAAGCAATAACTGTGGCTTGATATTGAGTAAGAACATGTTTTTATGAACCACACAGCTTCCGGTCTTCCTCGACCCGACCGGAGAAAAAGACGTGCTGCAGGCAGTAGAAATACATTGCTTTTAAAATCGTGCTGTGCAGTGCAACACGAAAAAAAAGGGGCAAATCGTGTTGGTGAACACGAATCAATAGATTAAAAATCGTGTTGGTGAACACGAAATGCCGTGAGACTGGGTTGGATGAATGTCCTTCCACATCAACCCAATAACTGTTATGTGGAAAACTCTAGTGTTATCAATGTAAACAAGAGTCAGCAAGCTGGTTTACTAAATACAAAAACAGCATACATAAAAGGTAAGATTTTTTCTTAAATGCTAGACAACATTTTCTGAAGTTTGAAACACTGAAAATACAACCCTGTCTCCTAAAAATTACGTTCCCACAGAAATAAACTGCATTCTCAATTACGCTTAGCAAGAAACGTATTTTCTCCCACGTTATGTTTGTTATGAACGTATCTCAAATACGTTTATTTTCTACATATCTTTGCCATGTATTGTCTTGCTTATAATAATGATAATAGTCATTTATAAATATCATTTTAGAGCACACATTTGAAATCGAGAATCGGGCTCGATATATGGTTAAATTAAAATCAGTAGTCGAGGCTGTAATTTCGCCAGCTGTTACTCTCATGAGCGAGGCAGAAAATAATAGTTTTAACCAAGCGGCAAACTCTGGGGAACAGCCGGGACGCCAATACGGAAGTGCCACACACTGCAGTTCATACATGGGCCGCTAGGGACTGGCTGCAGAAAGGAGCAATTTCCATAGAACCCCATGTTAAAATGCCCAACTTTACAGCAGAAAAAAATATGTTTCTACCCATGGATGCAATAAATATTATTATCGATATAGTTAGATTCCACCTTCATGATTATGAATCTGTGAGTGAATTGTTTTCTAACACGACCCTTTTATTTATATTAGGTCTTAAAGTTTTTGCATAAATTAGGGCGTGGTCACTTTGATGGACACGTACATGCCTCTACTGTCAGCTAAAAGCAACTTGTCCACTCTGCTAGGCTACAACCATAGAGGCTACAACGTTAGTTAGTCATAGTCAGGGGCGGTTCTAGGGGGGGCAGGGGGGCCAGTGCCCCCCTAACACTGACCTCTGACCCCCCTGTGGCCCACTAAAAATGAAAAGTGAAAAAAGTGAAAAAAAATTATGATTTATTACACGATTTATTGAATGACGGAATAGGCGGAACTAACGTTATTCGTCATTCTAGTCGGACCCATTAGAGCGGTGCACTCACTTTCACTGTCCGGCTGAAGTGCGCCAAAAACAAACACTTTTCATCTCGGATCATCAGAGGCCGTTGCATCCAAGAAAGACTGATTGAAACCTACGTTTCGAGAGACTACCACGATAATTGAAGGTGAGTTCAACTATTGTATCCGTGTAATTGTAGATGTAAAGTAGAGATGTAACTGTTCATTGCCTTTATTTTTATATAAATATGATATGGTGTTAG